CACACACACACACACACACACACACACACACACACACACACACACATACACACCCCTACCCCTACACCTCATGTGGACTGTCGTGGAATTTCTGATTTTTGTTTTGTACCCATTTTCTTTCATGGACTGCCCAATAATTCATACATTTCTCATTGTTTTAAGCTTAGCTCATTGCTTGAAATAAATGCTTCTCATCTTAACATTTGTAATGTAGGTTACATAGATCTATACTGCAAGGATGGGTGTGTTTATTATTTTTTTGATGGAAAGAGAGATGACTAAAATAGAGAGAAGAAAGAGAATTGAGACACAGAGGCTGATAGAAAAAAGTGGATGAGAAAGATGGAACGACAGAAATAGAAAGGATTTTGCAAAATTATTACAGCAAGAGGAAAATATTTTGATATAGTCTGTTATCTCTTCAATGCCCAGATGTTGTCCTACTCGTAGAACTGGGATTTTGCTTGTTAAACTAATAGAAAAAAGGTTTTATAGTTTGTAGTTTTAGTAGAGGTTTTACAGTGCTCACAACTGCATCAAGGTTTTATGAGTGCCAAGGGGTGGATGTCCACAGAGAAGTCCTTACAGGGAATCAGACTTACTCTGCTCACCTCTCTAACTTGAACTGCACAAAGTCTGCTTCGACTATCAAGGCACCCCCGAAATAGCGGGTCACAAGAGTGTAGTACAGAATTTCCTTTCAATGGTTTGGCCTGTAGTTTTACTGATACTTTTGCCATGTTGAGGCCTCATCGGCTTTGCTAGTTTGATCCCAGACTAACTCACTAAAGGAATTTTCGAGAGGACTGAACTACTGAAATGTCAGGATTAGATACCTCGAAAGTGAAAGGAGTTTTTTTTGCATTACCACACATCTAGTCACCATTGCCGTTTGGCATTGGCATGGCATTTTTGTATTTCTGTGAGCCTTTTGATCAAAAAGTTATTCTCTGCATGTTTGTTTTTGTGTAAACGAGTAGGTTTCTGGCTGGTGCTCTGGCGTAGTCTGCTCCTTCTTTCTTATTAAACTATTAAATCATCATCCTTATCCTTCCTCTTTGTTTTCTGTGTTTGTTACTCTCTAGCACCACCTCTTCAGCACTTATATGACCTATTCATGTTGCAAGTGCTGTTAAAGTCCTACCAATGAGTGGCTGGCGGGTGCTCTGGTGTGGTTTGCTCCTTTATTATCCATCAATTATCGTCCTTATCTTTCCTCTTTGTTTTCTTTGTTTGTTACTCACTTGTAACACCTCTAATCTTCGGCACTTAAATAACGTTATTGTGTTGCGAGTGCTGTAAAACTCTTATTAAAACAAAACTCCTTCCAGAAATATAGCGAAACTCTGACCGAAACAGAAACTTGTGTGTAAAGTAAACACTGGACGTACAAACTTCGTAGGTGGTTTGCGGACGCTGTGGTTATGGTTTGCTCCTTCTTTCCTATCAAACATCTATCTTCCTTATCTTTCCTTTTTCTTTTTTGTGCATGTTACTTGCAATACCCCTAATCTTCGGCATTTTATACTTTTATTGTGTTGCAAGTGCCGTAAAACTCTTACTAAAACAAAACTTGTTCAAGAAGTATAACGAAACTCTTACCAAACCTAAAACTCATGTGTAAAATAAACATGGGACGTACTAACTTCAACTGGTGTCTCTCCCCAGATGTGTGCCAAGTGCAAAATTCGACGTTCCTGTACCAAGAGTTTCTCCATTCAGAGGTTTCCCAAGATCCTTGTGCTGCGTATCCTTGCTCTGCTGTCACACAATAGTTGTTGTTGGAACAACTGCGGGGGTTTTTTCTCGGATAAATCGGGAAGTCTGGATTTCTGCAATGTCCAGATTTTGTTTAACTTCTTGATACAAGTTGTGTTTGACAATGTGATCCTTAAATTTCGTTTAACAATAATAAGTTAAGGGCTTTTGTGGTAGCCATTTGCCACCTCTGTGTTTGAAGATTTGCCACAAAAATTCTACTGCTGACTTCACTCAGTTTCAAAATACAACAAATATGCAGTCTAGGTTACTGTTCTGAAAATATAGTTCAGCCTTACGTTTTAAGTATCAATAATGAACAAATGAAAAGTCACAGTTATAGTCCAGGAAGATACCATTGTTGTTACTATATCAGTTTCAATATTAACCAATGTCGTCAGAGGTATGTTGGGGTGGCGAATATGAAGCGATAGGTAAAATCCCAGAAAAAGAGATACGAATGATGTTGTTGTAATTGTTGTTATCGATCTAGCAACAGCTGGGCCCTCGCCCTTCTGTCCAGTGCCATGTAGTGATAGGTGCAGGTTTGCTCCAGTTGCTGTAATGTTCCATAGAGTGTGCCGAGGTTTGAAAAATTAAAAAAAAGGAAGCCAAAGTTTTTTTTCCCTTGACTAAGTTTCCTTCTCAGACTTGAAGCGGTTCAGTCAGGAGAGGTACGGCCGCAAGCTGACCTCAGTTGTGGACTTTCCCGTCACTCAACTTGACCTCACGGACTACTCGGCGGAGGGAGGGTCCGGGGGTCGTCGGATACTGTACGACCTCTATGCTGTGTCCAACCACTCTGGCGGGACGGGCTCGGGTCACTACACCGCATACTGTAAAAACCCTTACTCCAACGAGTGGTACTACTTCAATGATTCGAGGTTGGTGTTTTTCGGGGAGTTTGTTGCTTTACTGTTATCTCTCTCCTTTTTGTCTCTCTTCTTTTTGTCTCAGGTAATTACTGTAAAAATCTTTGCTCTAAAGAGTGGTACAGTTTCAGTGATTCGAGGTTGATGTTTTTGTGGAGTTATTATTTGCTTTACTGAATTTGTAAAATCTCTTTTCTGTTTATTCTCTCTCTCTTTCTCTCTCTTTCTCTCTCTCTCTCTCTCTCTCTCTCTCTCTCTCTCTCTCTCTCTCTCTCTCTCTCTCTTTCAGTCTGTGTATTACCTCTTCATTCTTTTTAAGGAGAGGATATTAATAAGTATATCTTATTACAGAAAATCAAACTGTATAATAAGCTGTAGGCTTCATTTGAAACTTGTTTCCCGTTTTTCAAATATGAAGCTTCACTGGGGCCATGTGTATTTGACACTTATTGTCTTATCTTTTTGTGATTATCTGCCTTCCTTTTTTATTCTTTCCTCCTATCTCTACGGGTAGTTGGCGGATGCTGTGGTGTGGTTTGCTCCTTCTTTCCCAAGAAACATCATGCATCCTTGTCTGACCCTCTTTTTTTCTTTGTACATTACATCTAGCATTTACTAACAAAACTGAAGGCAGCTGAGGCAGGGGTAGACCGAGAACAGCCTACTTGGAGAACCTGAATAGATGGGTGACGGGGAAAGATCAGGGTAATGTAGCTTTTTTAAGAGCCATGATTGCTGATGTCTGTTGCAGATCTGGCACTTGATGATGATGATGATTACTCTGTAGCAACAACTCTAATCTTCGACACTTGTATGACCTTTTTGGGTCATAAGTGCCTTAAAACTCAAATTAATTAAAACATTTTTCTTTGTATTTCAGAGTGTCTAAGGTCAGTTCCAACCAGGTGGTGTCTGCTGAGGCCTATGTTCTCTTCTACGAGCTGTCTGGGGGTTCCGTGCGAGGCCTCTAGGGGACTGCCTGGCAGACACAACCGTCGTAGCCAGCAGCGGTCTATTGTTGTAGTGGTGAGAACATTGTAGCTGTGTGGATGTGTCTCATTATCTCCCGCGCTGAACCAAAGTATTACGGATGAAAGGCAAGGTTACTCCCAGTGGGGTCTACCAAACGAGTTGTCCTGCCTGCCAAGAAGAAGTTTGAGGAACACGGATTTGAATGCAGTTTCATCAGCTTGATACTTTGTTCACTTCATCGTCATAGACGTGCATCCCCCCTCCCCCCCACCCCACCCCACCTCACCCCTACCCAAAGTGCTCATGATGTTTGTTTTTTTGTATGCTTGTGGTAAAGCATGTGTTTCTAACATGACCCTCTTAAAACAGTTTTGCCATAGTTGCATTTCCATAATTTCTGCCTCCCTAAAGAGATCGTTCTGGCTGCTTGGCTGAGAATTTTTCTCTCCCAGTCTGCACTATAAGAGTTCTCATTTATTGCCGTGATTCTGTTACTAATAACACAAAGAGTGCTAAAGCAGCTACTTTTATCAAAGTAAAAGGCATTTAAATCATGCACATGTGAAATGAATTTGTTCTTCTTTATTCTGGTATTTCATTAAAGGACGGTGAGCTCTGAATCTTCAGCTCAGCAGCATCGCCCTGTTTCATCCTGTGTGTTAGGTAGGCCTAGTTGGTTGGCTCTATTGAGAGGTTCAGTGTGACTTGTCACTGGCCTGAAGGGGGAGGGAGAGAAAATTTTTCACAATCTGGTCTCTTTTGTGGCTGCTCCAACCTACACTTTGAGAGTCCACGATAGAGTTTCTCTTTGGATCCTTCACTGGACTTGTAGTTTTGAGTAATATCTTCTCTTTTTCCTCTTGAGTGGGTTTCAATTTGACATTGAAATTATGGAATTTGAAAAGTAAGTGTGTACCGAAATTGCTTGCAGTTGTTTGGGGATCAAATAACTAGAAAGAAAAGGAGGAAAAGAGGTCCCAATAGCGCTCACAGAGTAAGTAGTGCATTATGTGGCTTATCTACCGGAGTGAGACTTGGGGTGAGCTTTGGTTTATATAGAGGAGACCTGATATAGAAAGTCCATAGTACTTCATCACCTTGTTCATAAGTAAGAGGGGTAGAGTTGGAAGTTTAAAAGTGACTCCAACATTTTGTATTAGATGACAGAATTCTGTTATCAGATTGGACACTTTTTTTTTTCCTTGATGTGCCAATAGTCATGGTTGAAAGGCAAATTAGAAATTAAATCAAAAGGTTCAAGGTGGAGTGATATATACCTGTACATCGTATGTAATTCACTTGAACCGCAAATCAATTATGACGTGCACTCAAGCCTGGGCACTATTGATACATGAGACACTTTACAGAATGAGTGGATTAATTGTCCACTCCATTTTTGGGGTTGTCATTACAAGAAGTAACCACTTAAGTGTCAATGTGCTTCTTGTGTACTCTTTATATGAACAAAGTCAAAAAGGAAGGGAAAGAACTCGTAGCACATAAGGTGTATGGGTTTACAATAATCAAATCAGGGTTAAAGTGTTTACAGTTTTGTATGATCATCTCTTACTTAGCAAGGTGTTATATACAGTATGACACGGATGGCTCAGATTTGTCAGGAGTGGGCTCGGTAGTTCGAGGGATCCCTAGTAGTTGAGGGATATATTCCAAACGTAAAGAAAAAGAAAAAAAGGGGACGGCAGGCACATTTCGACCTGTCCGTGTTGTACTGTATTGTCCTTTGTCCCCACCGAAGCAAGAAAGGAATACGTTTTATATTTACCTTGATTGCAATGTGTTGCGTATGTGGAGAAATCATGACAAAGTGTGAGTGAAGGGAAGTAATTTGAATATTCAGTGCTTTGGTTATCTGATCTTGATAAGAAAGGTAGGAGTGTTCTCAGTGCACCTTTTGGAACCTGTGGATGTTGAACAGTATTACCATTATTGCATTACATTGTGTCTGTTTAAGATTGGGATTTTTTTTCTTACTTTTGCACACATATATGTTTTTGGCATGAGAGTGGTTTTACGCTTTTATCTTGGTGAATATTTTTCTGTTACGTGGTAGGTGATTCACTACATAATATTGGCTGGACTGAAGTATGTGTTGTTGCAGTGAACCTATTTCAAACATGCGTGTCTTGTATGTTCAAAATTAGAGAGTAGACTGACCACACTTGTCAATTGTAAATGGTATGCAGCACAACTGATCCATATGAAAACGAAGAGTTATTTTTACCCCCTTCGCTTTTATGGAGAAGCTCAGTTTAAAGTGGCATGTATATACTTCAATAACTTACAATGTCACTCCAGGCAAAGCAGCTGAAGGTCAGTTTAAGTACACAGCTACCTCGATAGTCACAGCAGCAGAGCATGCTGCTTTTGAGTCTGTGGTACCATGTTATACCATGTCAAAAAGTGGACAAATGGAAATGTATGCCATTCCCTGTCATTTTTGATATTTTCCAGAATATGGGTGCATAGAAATAATGAGAAATGCTTGCGCAGTCTAACCTGGTATCTTAAGTCTTTGTGTGTGAGGTACTTGACCGAAATTTTCTGTCAGTCATGCAAACTTTGCCCGCTCTAAAGTCATTGGTTTGTGTCTGAGGCCTTCAGCATCTTGCTGGCCTACGCCGTCGGCTGAGAGCAAGAGGCTGCTTTGTCAGAATCCCTTACAGCAGCAAAAATGAAATTTTATGGTGGGTATAAATCGCTAGAATCGAATGCTCGGGAAGGGACACATGGAACTAGAAATTGTAACAGTGGCAAAAACTGTGCTGGAGTGGAGTGGTATGATATTTGCGGACACGATACTACGTCATTTGAATACACCATAGTTTGTTTTTTTTTGTGTGTGTGTTTTGAGAGAAAAATGGACAAAATCACTTTTGTCTGTTGGCTGACGTCATGATCTGACAGCTCCTCTCGCTCCCGCTGAACAAACGTTGAGAGGCGGTGACTCGCTCATAATTCAAAACGGGCGGGCAGAGAAAGAGGATGTGATGGGAGTGGCGAAATGTTTGTCGTGGGTCATCCCTCTGTACATATATAGAACTTTTTTGTTGTTGTGTTTGTTAACTTTTTACACATGGACTTGGAGGGTTTGTATATAGCAACGGCCCCTGCACGCTCTTGGCTTGCTCCTGGGAAGTTCTATATTCGAACTACAATGGCCATTTTGGAGCCTGTACTTAATGAGCTGGTTTTTATCCCTTCTGCTTTTTATACATACTCAAACAGATGATGATGATGAAAACATTTTCTTAACCGGAATAATAATTTGATACGTTTTTCGCTGTTGGATGGTCGTGAGATTTTGCAGCAGTGAGGACTGATGCCTGTGGTGATCCCTGTTTGCTTATAGTGAAACTGTGAGGGCAGATGTGTTTATTGAAGAGTTTATTTAGGTGTTGAAGTGAGTTTGTGTGTTTGATTGAGAGAGAAGGAGAGAAAAGGTAGTGTATGAGATGTAGGGCTGTGAATGAGATGTAGGGCTATTGTGGTCAGTAAAATGTGATATCTTATTTAGTTTACATTTTGTTTCATTTCGATACAAATCCTTTCATGCCTTGCTTGATGAGGGTATTAATTTAATAAAAAGAAATATCTCCCTTTGTCCCACCCGCTTGCATAATTTTGGTATTTAGACTTGCCTTCTTCAGAAATATGTATTTGAGTTTTGCCGTTCTGTTTTGGAGAGTTTTGGGGTTTACTTTTATTTTTGTTTTATATCTTCAGTTCTTGGAGACTGGTTTTCTTTGATTTCCAGTTCTTTTATGAACTGTTTTATGGCGTTTAATCATTGGGTTTCAGTATCTTCCCTCAGCTCTGGCTGAAGAATTTGCTGTTTTCCCTCCTGTGGGACACAGGGGAAAAGTCCGGTATACCTCAACATTGGCTAGGGGAATCATGACTACAACATTTGTGCTTTCTGATTATAAATTGTCCTATCCATGGCAGAGTACAAGAAGTCACTATATGTCCACTTTTCACAGTTTCAAGAAAAACGAGTTTGAAGTTTGACGATATTGAAATCTCTATAGGCTACATAGTCGAAAAAGAAACGTGAATAATAATCTTGATAACGGGTTAAGCTACGGCTTAGATATTTACAGAGGTAAATGAGCGGCTTAAAATCTCACTACCCATTTCGGAAACTCCATTTCGACCAGAAGTGGATATAGTCACTTCTTGCGCTCGGCTGTCGATATGGTGTACTTAACTTCTGATTTTTTTTCTCAGAATGTATGTCAGTTTAAGATTTGGAAAGATAAGTTTTGTATAATTCGGGTCTTTCCGAGGCTATCAAATTCTGTGCTGTATAATGTATTTATATAGGCACCAGCCATCCATGTCCAGGTGCTGTTTTAGCCTCTGCTGTTGTGATGACAGACAAGAGCGCAGTGTCCTCGACAACTGCAGCAGAGGGGTTTCCTTCCAGCCCCAGCTTTTTTGTGCTCTCCCAAACTCCAGTCCCAGCCAATACAGCAATACTTCAGAAAAAGAGGCATGCGTTCTAAAAAGTGATGTTGTATCTTTGTAGTGAAGTTCAGATGATAACATAATACAATATTTAAAGGTAAATGAACAAATATTATGAAAATTAAAGTTTAATTAGGCTCGCCGATTCAGAAAAATGCGCAAATTCGGTTACCCCCGAAACTGAGAATATACGCTCTTGGGATGGTGGGAGGTACAAGAGTTGCTGAAAATATACGCGAATGGGGCTGGAAGGGGTAAGACCCATTGTGGGGGGTCAACTGAATTGTTCAAAGCAAGACTCTTCCTAAACTGTAGGCCAACAACAGATTTTCAGAGTGATGGTGCGTTTGTTTTAAAAGTTGGTTGGGGGTGTCAGCATTTTTTAAAATATTTTTTTTTACACCATTTTCATTTTCCGATCAAACTTGTACAGCGCATATCGCAATAATAGACACATATCTATGAATACTTTCCAAACAGTTTTTGCCTTCCAAGTGTGATGACCCCATTACAAAGCAGAGAGGTGTTTGAGTGAGATTACTACTAGTCTTTGTGCAGATTTGTGTCATTGGTCATGCCTTCTTTTCATCACATTTTCCCTCATTTTGTCCCTTTGGATGCTTTGTACACTTCCTTTGCTTTGGGTTGTGGAGTTTAAAGTCATTATTGTTGCTTGTTTTGTATTCACTTTCGGTGGTTGTTATTTATTTTGTTTTGTTAGTTCATTTTTGTTTTGTTTTTTTGTTTTAGGGGAGAAAGGGATTTGGGGGAAAATGGGTGTCTCGGGGGGGGGTGGTGTGGCGGGGATGGGAGCTTATAGTTTTAGGTAGCCTGTCTTTGTTGGAGGGTGCAAAACCGAGCAATGGATGATGAAAGTCATGGCTCAACGTTCCAAGTTTCCCATTCTATTAAGTGCTATCCATGCTCTCTGATGTGGATGATTGGTGGGTGCTTTGCTGTGGTTTGCTCCTTCTTTCCGGTCCAACATCTATCGTCTTTATTTCTCCTCCCTTTTTCTTTTATTTTGCATGTTACTCTCAGTAAAACCCCTAATCTTCAGCATTTATATGACCTATTTATGTTCCAATTGTTGTAAAACTCTTACAGAAACTACAAAAGCTCTCTGATGACATTTTCAGTTTGCGAAAATAATTACGTATGACTACTGTTATCATACAGTGTGGCTTTTGGTGCTGAAATTGGATGAAACAACGGTAGCGTCACAAATTCAGCCATCTTTTAAAAAAAAAAAAAAAAATTAAAACTGCTTTATAAGGGCGACATCAAAAGGTAAACACATGAAGTAGAGCTGGGCTTTGCCTCATTCTTGTGTTTACACGCAGCACTATAGATCGTTGATGAGTACCTTTTCGTATACTGTTTCTCAGTGCAGCATGTGTCGTTGCTCCACTTATATCTAAAGACCAAGACAGTCTTCAATGAGTTACCTCACAGTGGCTACCGCGGACAAAGTGAAAAGTTAATTTATGTATCAGGTTTAGCGAAGTAAAGCCTGATTCCTTTTTCTGTCTCGCCAAACCATACTTGAATTTGAAAATGCAGTCTAGCACATACACAGTGAACACGCACATAGTGAACAGATTTTCAGATTCTGAATTTTTTTTCTTTTTAAGTCCAATTCCTTTATATTTAAAACACATACATAGCCAAATGTGTACATAAAGAAAAGATTTCTGTTTCCCAATGATTTTACGATGTGCGTAGTAGTTTGTATAATGAGAACAGGGGATGAGCTATGGGAATCTGCAAGTTTAAAAAAAAATTAAATATGAGAGAATTTGTTAAGAGTGATTTTTTACGTAAAAAAAAAATTATTACTGAATTTGATATTCTGTGGCATCTCAGTCTTAGTCGAAAACGGACACTAGATTTTGTTGCAATGAACAAGTGACAGACAACTTTTTACTATAGAGAGGCTTCACCGACATCTTTGATGTAGCTGTTAGGCACTTCGCTGTCGCACACAGGAGACCCAGGCCCAATTCCTGAGTGGGCCGAATTTTTATTGGGTACCCCGGGTCCTTCTGCTGGGAAATTGTGTCTCTGTCGGCTCACATTGGCCCTGACAGGCAGGGTTGGAAGCCCACCTCCTAAATAATCCAAATTGTGTTGATTGGGGTGTAAAAACACTTACATTAGATAATTTTTTGAAATACAGAGGCTTCTTTTGCCCAATCCACCTTTAGGCCTCCGTTTGTTCTCTTTGTTTCTGTGTCCTTTAGCCTCCGTTGATCGTGCGTACATGTGTGGGTGAGTAGAGTACTGTTTTATTCTTTCTTACACTCGAGTCTCAGTTTCTGTTTGATATTTCAACTCAGCCTGTGATACTGTAAATAACATTTTTTTGCCTAGATTTGCTACCAACGTCTTATTCTTCATGTGTCATGTTTTTGTAAATTATAATGATATTCATATTTTGGAAGACTCAAAATGTCGAATGTTGCGACGACACATAATGCATGCACACCGAGTGAAATGGCACTGTAGGCCTACTTAAATTACGAATGGGAGTAGGCAGAAAGAGAACCATAAAAGCAGCAGAATTACGAACACGGTTGCCTGAACAGAGTGATTATTATTATTATTATTATAATAATAAAAGAAAAATCTTGTACATTTGGTTGCTTTTAAGCTCGAGGGGGCTATCCCGAAAAATGCTGTTTTGAGAAAATCAAAGGTAAAGTTTTGGCCCCTTGTTCGGTTTCTTTTATTGACAAGGAGAGTACTCTCTTATCAAACAAATATACACACCATTGAAACCAAACTTCTCCTATAGGTAGAGCGATGCCCACTTTTGGTGTAGATCAAGATTTTTGGAAACTCCAGAAATCTGGGCTAGTCCGCTTGTCCTTAAAAGCGACCATTTGTTGCGATTTGTAGTGCTCTCTCTGTGATTTGTATAAATAATGTTTATAATATTTAAGTTTCGAATGAACTTAAAAGCTATTATTATGAAAACCTGAAATTATCAAAATAAGTTTTCAGAAGAGAGCTGTTATGATTTTATTTTTTAAAACCATGTTGTTGCTCCACAAACTCTGTTTATTTACACAATCACTGTTGGTTAATATTAATTGCTGTTTGATTTTTTTTTTTTCTAGTTATTGTTAGATATTGAATTAGATGAAAAGATATATATTTTAAACTGTTTCTTGTATTTCTATTTTGTTGTTGTTTAAGTTTTCATATTTCATTGGTGCATTAAAACGTTTCATTTTATTTTCTTTCTATTATAGATTCAAAGTTTATGTCTATATTATATATATATATATATTATATATATATATAAATAAATATATCAACTTCAGGTGTTAGCTTCTCGATATTGGAATAAGATATTTTTATTACTCTTTACCATGTTTTTTTTTTTTTTCTTGAGTTCCAGAAGAATTGGTTTGTGTGTGGTGTCATCTGTACTTTCGTCTCAAAAGAACTTTAAAGTAAAGGTGGTGTAAACCATGGAAACTCTGCTCTTGGGTTTTGTTTTATTGTTGCCTGCGTCTTGAAACACAATGCTATATAGACTGTGTTAACAATAAAAAAAAGTTGGTCAGTCATTTTTGAAGGATGACCAATGGAGAGAGGAATAATATTATCTTAAGTGAAATAAGGATTAAGATGGTTTGTGCATTCTGCTATGGCCAACGAGACCAATTCTCGCAGAGAGGAGTTTGCCACATTTTGAGCATTGAAAAGCTTCATTTCCACAGTTGTGGATTTGTGGATATATCTCTATGTTAAGCTCATTAAAAAGGACAGCTGAGACTAATGCTAAGAATGTACTACTAATAAAACAACAAAAAATCGATAAAAATTGCCAAACTGGTGGAAAAATGCAGATTTCTCTGATTTCAAAATTTTTGACGAGCACATGGTTTCATTATGATGCCTCTCATATATATATAACATTGTATTGGCCCATGTCTGCAGAGTGA